CTAGGTTCTTCATGATAGTCAGAACTGAAGAACACGTCTCAATTGTGATCCATTCAGTGCAACGCAGAGCACTAGTATAAACCAATAGCCAAGACAAGCTATATCCAGTTTATACTACAACCTAAACCGATAGTCATATCCATAACGATCCCAGTTGTGAATACCATTTATATCTTATAAGGGACCGACAATGTAATCTTCTGTGTGACTACTAACACACCACATTGTCTACAATATAAGATAATTGGACATTTAGCATACAAGCAATCATAAAGAATGCAACAATGTGAAAACATTTATTTCAGTCAAATGGGAAATCGAATAAATACAATCCAAAAGCTCACATAAAAGTTTGCTTTACTGTATACCCCAACAACCTCCATGATCAACCTCTCGGAATAGGAGAGTGTCCGTGGAGCATGTCGACCTAACTGGAGCCTTCTCGATGGTGTGGTGGAATGGCTCAAGTTAGGGACTCTCGAATTTGGACCAAGGAGTTTCCTCCATCAGGATAACACCCTCAATCTCTTGAAGCACATCTTCCTCTTCTTTAGTCTCGCCCACGTGAATCTGATAGACATTGATAACGGACTGGATACCATCAAGTTGCACCATGGATCGAGTGCATCTCACCTCAATCTCCTCTAGTTGAGTTGTTTGGGCCGACACACGAGCAATAACGAGATTGAGTTTTTTGTCAAATATCAAAGTATGCTCCTGATATTTATTTTCCACGGGGAAATTGGGGAAGAATTGTAAACTCGGTCCTCCATAGCTTGAATGTGCTCGGCTTGGTTCTCGATTTGGCCTCAAGATTTTTCTCCGGGCTGCTTGGGAGGTGTAATGACCCACTTTGATTTTAAAGAAATTCCGGACTTTCAGAAAAAATAATTTTATTTTCGAAATTTATTTCAAAATCATTTATGGCGTTACTCATTTAAAATCCTAATCAACCTCACAATTAATCATCAACACAATTGATATAGCCACGGCTAGAACTGCCGGCTCGATTGGTAGTATTTGATATAGCATGTCATACCCAAACGGTTTTTATGGGTATATATTGAAAATACGCCTATACATAGGCTAAGACACTTGATATGATAAGATGGGCCAAGCCCAACTTAGGCCAATCCCAATTTGGAGTATAAGGTACACTCCCCCTATTAAAAGGGAGCTAAGGTACTCATTTCATTCATCCTCTACACACTCTCTCCCTACACTTTCTCTCTCTCTCTCTATGCCTTCTCATATGAATCCAGTACTGACTTAAGCATCGGAGGCCCAAAGCCGGGCACCCCTCCCGGGGTCTCAGGCTTTGGGTTCTTGTAGGTATGGTGGCCGTCCGAGTCGAGGGAGCCCGGGTGACATCTCTGTCCTATCATTTTAGCACCGTCTGTGGGGACCGTTCAAAAAGCCAAATGGTGTCCCGACCGAAAATTCAAAAAAAGCTCCTTCGACTTGAGCAGCCGCCACTACCGGCACCACTGCCGGCCGCCGTTCAAAGTTCTCTGACCAAAAAACCGTTGGTACCATCGTGAAGCTCTCGTCAAGCTTGTTCTACCCTTGCAATTTCATGCAAAAATTCCTACCGAAAGGGTATCAATTGGCCGGTCAAAGTTTATAGATCTTGAGAGGTTTGGTCAAAATCCGGTTGTCGCCTCCAAGATTCCCGACAATTTTTGACGAATTGCATCGACCCGATGGCACCGCCGGGTTCCCCTCTCACGAGCGCACCGACGCCTGGTCTCTCTCGCCGGATCTGGTAAGCTTGACCGGTGACCCTTTTCCTCTTTCCGATCTGCTCGCCGCCCGTCAACCTGCAACCACCCGCATTGCAGCCACCCACCTGCAACCACCCTCACCTCGACCACCTGCAAATCGGACTTCGACCACTCGATGTGGTGATCACTTGCAACTCGGTTCGCTGGAGTACCCACAGAACTCCATAACCAATTTTTCTTTTTATTTTCTGGGCAGTAGAAATCATACGTGTCTCAACAATTTTGATTACGCCATGGGGAAGAGAAGCAGAACTAGGCTTTTCGAGGAACACATCGAGAACGAAGAAGAAGCTGAAATGGAGGAAAATCGTGAATTTGTCGACGGATCTTCTTCCTCAAACGTCAAAAGCTTGTATGAGATCCTTGGGGTGGAGAAAACTGCATCTCAGCCTGAGATAAAGAAAGCTTACTACAAGTTGGCTTTGCGCCTGCATCCCTATAAAAATCCCGGAGACGAGGAAGGTAAGGAAAAGTTTCAGCAGCTACAAAAGGTTATATCTATTCTTGGTGATGAGGAGAAATGAGCAGTATATGATCAGATGGGATGTGTTGATGATGCTGTAAGTCATGATACCACCTGTTTTTACTGCAATTATATGCTAGGATTTTGAAATTCGAGTTGTTTTTGTATAGAACTTAAGTGTATTGGGGCAGTTTGTAATAGCCCATTATGTTATTAATGTAAATTATGGGTTTAGTTCCGAAATATTTATTTTATCGAGCATTATCATTCGAGACTAATTATTAAAGTTATGACTATTCGAATTAATTTTCGAAGTCAATTCTCGACCAAAATTATTTCAGTTCGGTTAAGACTAATACTTGGAAATAATTTCTAAGTATTGGCATTCACATTCTATGTAAATAATTCATTTTCAACTATGTTAAGCGTACGTCAATTGCCTATGATTGTGCTTAATTGCACGACCTATGCGCACTCTACTCAAGCTTCGCATTAACCACGTTCAAGCCAAGTTAGCACGTCATTAGGCGTTAAGCCATGAAATTTGCCGGAAGTAATTGGTGCAAAGTTCACGTGAGCATCATCATTCTTGCAAGCATGATGTGGCAACTAATTAGCTCTCCATTTGATGAGTAAGCAAGTAAGGTGATGACTAAGATTTAAGAAGCCACCTAAGGTCTTAGATTCAAGGCAAGTGGCACAAGTTCATTAGCTAAAACAATTTCACCTCTATTCACCTTCATTCATACGATTATTTATAGAGAAGTTGGGTGAAAAATAAGGCTTATACTTAAGCCATACACTAACCAAAGAGTTAGAAAGTTAAGCTAAGTTAAGCTATTTTCCATCGCACACGCATGCACGAGCAAGCTAGGCCAGGTGATCACGGAAGTTTTGCAAAATTGACCGAGTGATTGAGGAGGTAACTTCATCTTCACCTTCTTTTAACGTGCATATAATCATGTCAAGTTCAAGCCATATTATTCGCTTCATGTAGAAGCCATGTTAAGCTCGGTTTAAGGCATGTTAAGTCATTCCGAACCATTTTGATTTTGAGCCGTCAAATCTCGGGCAATTCATGTTTATTCGGTCATTATATGTCATTCCATGCTCATTCGTGGTATTGATTGTCGAGAGAAATTGTCATGTGGTCGAAGGATTGGCAAAAGTCGTAGGCTACGCATATAGCGCACATCGCGGCTGTTTACGTCCCATCAAGTTATGTTCATGGTCATCCGACCGTTTTACGTGTGATTATTCATGTTATGTTAATTTATGTTGATTCATGTGATAACGGTCGAAGGAAAATATCAAGTGGCCAAGTGGATCGGTTATGATGGTGGGTCGCGCATACGTGCACACCACAAAGCCTTTCCGAGTCATGTCAAGGTCTTGCTAAGCATTTTTCAATTAATTCCTATGGTTATGATCATTTTATATCAAGTCATGTTCTTCTATATTTATGTTGTCGGAGTAAATTGTCGGACGGCCGGCAAGGTCCGGTCGTGGTCGCGCTGCCCGCACATAGCGACAATAGCATACCGGCAGTCAGTCCAAGGGCGGGCAGGCATCGTGCGTGTATGCCCAGTCGGGCGTCGCGTACAGCCACTGCCCGCAGCAGTCAACAGTCGGCCAGTGCCTAGGGCATGCCGACACGTCCTCGCGCACGCTAGTGCGCCCAACAGCACGCCAGTCGGCCTTGGGCAGTGCCCGACAACACGCTTGAGCGCTCAGTACCGTCAGGGCCGCCCGACAGCGGCCACGCGGTACCATTTCATGTCAGTCAGCTCCAGTCCGCGCATTCACGTGCTCAGCTGCCTTTCGAGGTGCCCGATAGCGCCAGGCAGTGCCTACTCGCGCAGGTGCCGGCGCCCACAGCGCCCGACAGCGCCAGTCATCATGTCATGCATCCGGTCGAACGTCGGCTGTGCCCAGCAAGCACCCAATGGCCCTGTCCAGTGCGCGCGTTGCACCAGTCGCATGCCAGCGTACATTGGCACGTCCAGCTGGTCTAGGGTAACGCCTGTTGAGCCCAGCAATGTTCGTGCCACGCCAGCCGTGTCCAGTGGCACGCCCGCGCGCGTGGACGCCCAGGCCCACGCCAGTCCGTGCCCGTGCACATCCAGCAAAGCCCGGCCAATCCATGCAAGCGCCCACGCCCGAGGCCTTAGCAGGCCGGTTAGCCGAGCCAGCGGCCGACCGCCCGGCCACAGCAGGCCGGCGGTCCGGCCAGACCGCAGACCGACCGGTTTATACCGGTTTATTCATAGATTAACATTTAATGATACGGTTCATGTTTATGTCCAATTTTCAGTTAAATTTTGGGTACGACCAAGTTCAGTAAATTCATGTCAGTCCAGTTTTGATTTTAACTGGATCCGATTATACTGGTTAAGTTCAATGTTATGTCAAGTCAAGTCGAGCATCTTAACAGTTAAATTTATTAAGTCTGAGCATAGTACTTAGTATTTGTTTATATTATGTTACAGTTTGAACAGTTCACGATCATAAGCACATCCAGTTTCATATCGACGGTTCAGGTGGGGACTCAAACTGGGTATTACATTGATTATCATTACGCTACCATGTTTGAGGTATGTATCACGTTATGTTATGTATCCGCTGGAATTGTCGTCGGTCCATTCTGGGTTTTAGTGGCCTAGTCTGCCCACTAGAGTGTGCACATGGTGTCCGACATTTTCGTGCTGGCAGATGAGGTAATGGTTATGAGGCAACTGTCATGTTATGACAATGGTTTACCGGTATCATGCTATGATATGT